TGACGATGTGAAGTATTGATATTTTACTCGCACTCAAAGGAGGTGTTGAAGAGTTTAGCAAGTGCACCTTTAAAAAAGACGATTTTATGGTCGCTCGGTCTCTCGTAGACGGCGTCCACGCTGTCCAGACTAGCGGGCAGGCCCCTCCCGAACCAGTGGATCTGAGCGGGACGCAAAGAAACCAAGTGCTTCTCTCGAGTGAGCCGCCAAAAGTATTTTCCTACGAGGACAAAGAGAAAACAAACAAAAAAATAGATGTTGCGTTAATTCCCCACCAATCAACATGAACAAATGTCAAATGTCTAATCTGGCCTAATTTGACCTTTTTTTTCCCCTCCTCTCTTCTGGTCGAATTCAACAAATGCCTGATTATGGGATGTTTCTACAGCACAGGTGTCAAACTGAAAGCCCGGGGGCCAGATGTGGCCTGCCACATCATTTTATGTGGCCCGCGAAAGCAAATCAAACATGTCACTTTCCACGATGCTTGCTAAAATCTCGACCAAAATTTAAAATTCTCGTATGTAGTAAATAATAGACATATTGTAAGCATTTTCTTGTAACCAAACCCTTCATCACAGAAACTTAAACAATAGTTGAATAAACCGTGATTATTGCCTTTTTAAAATTTGGTTTCAGTCATAACGGCCCTCTAAGGGAAACGGTAACTAAAATGTGGCCCGTAACAAAAATTAGTTTGACACCCCTGCTCTACAGTATTATACCGAGAGTGATTCGTTTTCAGTGTTACGGTAGCTCAAAGTCATCATTTCCACTCAACTTTTTCACAAGTCCACACCAAGAACCCTCTTCCCTCTTCAATCTTTAATGATTATGGGACTGAAAAAATTCACTAGATTTCCTTAAGGAAGAATAACACTAAATCGTTTTTTCCCCCTTCCCCAAACCTTATTACAAATTGGATGAGTGAATCACCTTCTAAATGAAGACAATAGATTTCAAATATCTCACTCAAGCATTTTATTCATCATAAGTTGGTGATGAAAAAAAACTGAATATTTCATCACAATTTAATTTTAGGGGCATCATGGTGAAAAGAGGATATCCGGAATTTTAGCAGAGGTGGCAATGGCCAGCATCAGGAGGAGAAAAATGACGCAAAAATAAATAAGTAAGTAAGTAAGTGACTTCCATCCATCCATTTTCCGATCCGCTTTATCCTCACAAGGGTGAGTGTGGGGTTGCTGCAGCCTATCCCTGAAGTGGTTGCCAGCCAATCGCAGGGCATACAGAGATGAACAACCACAGTAAGAATAATATTAAGAATGGGCGTTTCACTAGATTTCCTTAAGGAAGAATAACACTAAATCGTTTTTTTCCCCCTTCCCCAAACCTTATTACAAATTGGATGAGTGAATCACCTTCTAAATGAAGACAATAGATTTCAAATATCTCACTCAAGCATTTTATTCATCATAAGTTGGTGATGAAAAAAACTGAATATTTCATCACAATTTAATTTTAGGGGTATCATGGTGAAAAGAGGATATCCGGAATTTTAGCAGAGGTGGCAATGGCCAGCATCAGGAGGAGAAAAATGACGCAAAAATAAATAAATAAGTAAGTAAGTAAGTGACTTCCATCCATCCATTTTCCAATCCGCTTTATCCTCACAAGGGTGAGTGTGGGGTTGCTGCAGCCTATCCCTGAAGTGGTTGCCAGCCAATCGCAGGGCATACAGAGATGAACAACCATCCACGCTCACACTTACACCTAGGGACAATTTAGACTGTTCAATCAGCCTGCCATGCATCTTTTTAGAATGTGGGAGGAAACCGTAGTACCCGGAGAAAACCCACGCAGGCCCGGGGAGAACACGCAAACTCCACACAGGAAGGCCGGGGCCAGGATCGAACCCACGACCTCTGCACCGTGAGGTCGACATGCTCACCACTGGACCACCGGGCCACCCTAAAGAAGTGACTTTCGCAATTATTTTCGGAAGGTGACAATATGAGAAAAGCCAGGATCCTTTTTTTATTTCACAACACACTTGAAATTGCTCCGGAACACAACCAAGTTTAAGCCGTTCGTCCTCACCGCTTTTGATTTCAAATTACAGCAAGCGATAGTGGAAAATCAATACGTGCCTTATTGTTTTTAAAACGATTTTCATGGACTGTTTAAAGATGAACCGTTTTAACGAACCGTAACGAAAACTCCACTTTGATCAGACATTGAAAAGGTAGGAGCGCATTTGTAACAGGGATCAGTTTGAAGGTTTGCTGAAACGCCAACTCAAGTAAACATCGTGCTTGTGAGGATACAAAAGTTGTTCCCTGTTGCTGTTGTCAGCAGGAGGCTGCGCCCACTCAAGAGGGCCAACATGAAAGCCTGACGCTTCCCAGCGCGTCTCAGTTGGGCATCCAATGCAAAAGCTCTCTCAGCCATTTTCGTCCTGCGCTCTCCCTCAACCACCCCCCCGCTTTTTTTTTTTTAACTCCTTCTCCCACATCTTTTAAGCTCATTCTGCTCATTTATTTGCCCCGCCCGGTGCGGCTTCTGCAGCCGTCATTTCTGTCTTTTTTTTTTGTGCTTGGCTACCTTTGAAAAAAAAGGCCTCCCCTCGAATCTGGGCCACTGCATCAAAGTAGCTGGTGCATCTGTCTGGGGCATCTCGCGCCAGTCTGAGATAGATGAGAGGAAAGAACAGAGAGACTGTTAAAAATAGGGAAGAAAAAACAAGAGCTAAAAGTGGACGTTTATCAGCTCTTTCAGAGGTTTAACACGTATGCTCCTTTCTCCAGTCGAATCATCTCGTCCCTTTCAAGATCTCATTCTCCATCCTGATTTATTCATATTGTGCATGAAGTAGACCGATCAGACCTAAGAGAACGAGTGGTCGCCATCAGGCTGACGAGGGGAATTTCACCAGAGGGTTTATGACGTGGCTCACGTCCTCGACAGCGATTGTCGAGGCCGAAAATAAAAGGCCCTCGACGAACGAAGCGGGGTCTGCGGTCAGCTCTCGATTAACATGTAGCTATCGGCACCCTTGTCGGAACTAATCCGTCTTGATTACTTCGACTGCCCTCGCGGAGCCAGACTCGATGAACGGAAATTTATCCGAAATACCAAAAGAACTAGAGTGGAACCTTTGACATTCTTTGAACATGACATGTCTCGAAACTGCCATTGACGGATCTATCCAAGGGCCCCACAAGTTTGACATGATTGCATGCGGTTGCACTCGGGCGGTGCCCTACTCACACGTTAGGACTCAGGCGTGTATGCGATTCATAAACGGATCAACTTAAGCCTAATTATCCTTAATAATAAAGAAGATACAGTCGGAAAGAAGCTCCACTTTCTTCGGGGAATCTCTTAATTAGGTAAGCTGGATCCCAAGCGCGCTTACCAGTGCACTCTCCGTATATCATTATTCCGCATTAGGATGCAAACTGTGATTTTGCAGGCCATGTTGAGTATTCCTGCATGGCTTCATTACATCTGTTTCTCAGCTCGAGTGTTGGCAAAAAAAAAAAAAAAAAAAAAAAAAAAAAAATTAAAGGAAACCCGAGGAAAAAAAACACAAAAGTCGAAATCAACTTACAGTAAACTGTGACATCGCAGACTACATCAAAAGTCATTATCCTAATGGGATGTGATCTAATCTAAACTGCTTGCGAGGTGAAAATTCTCGAAGGTAGGCTGTGACGCGATGTTTTTTTTTTTCCCCAATTCCTTCAATAAGATTAAAACCGGGAATAAAAAAAAAAAAAGTTGTACTTACTGTAGAATGGATTTGTTTTCTGGAACGTCCATCAGGACAGGAGGCTCGGCCGTTTGGGAAGGGTTGCTCGGCTGATTTGTGTGTGAAACTGAATCACGGACACCTGGGTTAAGGTGAATGAGTCCGAGTTAATATTTGTGCAGCTTGGAATGTTTGATTCAATACAAAGAACTCCGTAAAGCGAAAGACTGCCTAATGCGGCTTTTTGGAATGTTCGATTCAATATAAAGATCTCCGTAAAGCGAAAGACTGCCTAATGCGGCTTTTTTTTCCTCAGCTGCGAAAAATGCAGAAAACCACACTGCATTGAATGCAGTCGGTCACACGCCGACGAAGAATAAGAATGGAGGAAAACAAGCGCTCCTCTATTGCGAAAAATGCAGAAAACCACACTGCATTGAACGCAGTCAGTCACACGCCAAGAATAAGAATGGAGGAAAACAAGCGCTCCTCTATTGACTTCTTGACGTGGTTGTTGTTCACGGTGAGGAATTTTATTCGAGACGAGGAGCAAGACAACGAATCACCCGCGGCCTAGTGAAGACTGTGGATTAAAACATTCATGATGAAAGCGAGCATCGTCCATCATACCGTAGAGCTGCCAGACGCGGACCTTGTCTTCATAGGGTAAGTTGTACTTCAGAGGGTCTCCGACAGGACCCTGGTAGTACGGTCTCATGATGGACTCCATGGCCGAGGTGTGGACAAGGCCGATGGCGTGACCGAACTCGTGGACGGCGACCGCAAATAGGTCCATCCCGTGAGAGTCTGAGGAAAGCAGAGCGGATGGGTGACTGATGATTGGAATCACTGGAAAAGACTTGAACCCTGATTAAAATCTCATGTTCAGAGCATCAAAGATCAAGTCGAATACTTTTTTAAGAATAAGAATAAGAAAACCTTTATTCGTCTCACAATGGAGAAATCCCTAATTTACAGCCGCAAAGTTATGAAAGGAACAAAGTAGAAGAAGAAAAAGTATAGGAGCTGCTGTAAAGGCAGCCACTCTCGCGGCGCCATCTTGAAGTCATAAGAACAAAATAATACAACACAACACATAAAACACAGAAAGTCATGTAATCTTAACCCCTTTTCTGCATACTCTTTGTTGTTTGAAGCAGTTCTAGATGAAAGAGGAGAGGATCAAAGTGTCCTTTCACCAGTGGATCAGAGACGCCATGCTTGAAAATGTGAACGCGTCTGCTCCAATTAGAATATCACTCTACCATATTTTTGGCACTATAAAGCGCACCTAAAAATATTTAATTTTCTCAAACGCCGACAGTGCGCCTAATAATCCGACGCACCTTATATATCTCATTCAGTACCAGCCAATTCCTAGACCAAGTCTGAAAAGACGTTTAAAAGCGTCATTGGGAGTGAATGAGATATGGATCAATATTCTGATTTCTTGGACGTTGTATTTGAAATGTTCTGTAAAGTACTTCATTCCAGCTGCAGCGGTTGTGTAAGCTCCATATAAACAAAGCTGTATTGTATTGTATTGTATTCCCTTTAGCGTGGCTCCATCTAGTGGATGCATAACAAAACCGCAGCTAGGGCTCTCTATAAATAAAGCTGTATTGTATTGTATAATCTTCCCTTTAGCGTAGCTCCATCTAGTTGATGCATACCGCAAGCCACTATTGTAGCTTCTATTCTATGTGCCTTATAATCCGGTGCGCCTTATATTAAATGAAAACAGTTTTAAAATCGGCCATTCATTGAAGGTGCGCCTTATACTCAGAGGCGCCATATAGTGCGGAAAATACGTTAATACCGAAATGTATTCTTTTCCCTCTGAACAAAATAAATAATGCGCTGCGATTGGCTGGCAACCAGTTCAGGGTGCCGCCTACTGCCCGAAGACAGCTGGGATAGGCTCTGAGCACGGCTGTTTTTATTTACGCAAATATTTCCAAAGACGACATTTTCGAGCTGTAATTTTAAGACTGTGAATTTTTTTCTCATGGTTATCATACTGTCACAATCTAATATTGGCTCATGCCTAATTATGCCGCGGACTCGCTGCCAGTCAATTTACAGAACATGTATAGACAATTTTTTTTTTCCCCATTCGTACAATCACTTCTCAAACAAACCAGCAAAACTACCGTACTGTAAAACTGTGGCGGGTACACCAAACAAAATACAGATACAGGTCGGATATTTTCGGCACACAAAAAAATGCATCTCGCATTCGACTGAAATGAACCACACTAAGCTCTTCAGCATATATTTAGTTTTGGTCCCAATGTTACTGACAACGTGACCTTTTCCTGTTGATGGTGGCCTGATTGACGTGTTTCAAACCCAGTTCAGGTGTTATATGTCACGGACGTTCATCTGCTTACTGAATAAATGAAGACGCATGGCAGGTCGAATCAGGAGGATTCTAGCACCGCAGAGTGTGCAGAAGAGAGATAACTTCGCTAAGCCTGCCTGACTGTCGGGGTTGCCAGTCAGAACCAGAGAGCAGGGAGACACCTCGGGAGCGGCTCCCGACCATTCAAAAGAAAAAGCCTCGCAAATTCCACATTATACACGACTCAAGTTCGTCAGAAATGCGGATCGTTTGCATTGTCAAGCTAAGCAAAGCTAACCCCACGCGTAGCCCCTGAAGACCGTAACCTTCGTTTGGCACTACAAGGGACACATTTTCATCCTTCCGGGTCCCACTTGGGACCATGGCAAGACAAATAGCACCTGTAATCTACGGGAGCAGACAGGAAAAGGGAACAAAAGGAGGGATTGAGAGAGAACAAGGGCTTTGAACTCATCGTGTACCGGGCTTCGTGTTTTGGACCCATGTGAGGCTAAACGAATGGAGCGCACGCCGGCGGACACAGTGGAAGCCGAGAGAATTTGGCGCGTAGCAGCAGAGTGAGCTTTGAAAAGTTCTTCAGGCAATCAAAGTTCTTTCATATTTAGCAGTCAAAAGCTTTGCGCTGACAAGATTCACAAGTGAGTCATTAAGTAGCTCTTACATCAGCCCGAATGCTTTTATTGTGCAGAAACGACGCCAGAACTTTCTAAGCCTTGTATAGAATTATCAAAACATGAGATGACTTTCGGCGGGGGGGAAAAAAAAGGATGAATGCAATAAATTAAAAAATAAACCAAGTGTTTGTCCCCGGCGTTGGCACAATTACGACATTTTTACCACTTTGGATCAATGATCTCATCGCAACGGGATTCCAGTGAAAAGACGTTGGAAGGTGAGTAATAAATAACACACTGAAATGACCGCTTGGTTTTCTTTTTTAGTTTCTATGCAGGTGCACCGCAGTAGAACAATTCACCTGCTTATTGCTTAACGAGACCTTTATTTCACTCGAGATAATTAGCAGTCGGCGGCACTTTGCTTCATGGGTTGCCCATCAGAGCCAAAAGACCACGTCTTGGATCTCGTCTTATTTGATGTTACTCGCCGGACTTAATGGAAGTCAGATACAGCAGCAGTGGTGAATTGGTCCAGTGAATGCGTTGCTTAATATTCCACGATTCAGCATCATCACACACATTAGGAGTTGGCCTTAGCGGACCAAAGATTTAATGTCCCGCTGAGAACAATGTACTGGGAGAGGGTGGAAGGGAATTAGCAAAGGCAATTACTCAGCGTTGGATTTTATCCGATAAGGTCCATTTCTCTCGAGATGATTAGAGAGCTGAGGCGCTAACATTCAGATGACCTAACAAGTTTTTCGAGGCACCGGCTTGCCTTTTGTGAAAGTTGAACAATTTACGGATCAGATAGCTCGGCGGCGGCACAGCTGAGTTTGGCATCTGTTGTCTGGACGGATCCGCAGACACCGTGATAAACACGTCTGGTGACGGTGGAGGAGGGCGTTGTGGGATCGCAAGCGAATATGCGACTGCAATATGCGTGTGACTTGAAGTCATTAGCTACGCCCCAATTGAGCGGCTGCACCATTTCGAGGACAGAGCGGCTGCGCTCAATGTAGCCAAAAGACCTCAAAAAGTTAATTGTCCTGAATGTCCGCTTTACGAGGTGGCTACATGTTAGCATTGCTAACATCTTATCGCTAGTGGCGGGGTAGTCTAGAGGTCCTGGGTCCAAACCTCAGGATGTGGAGATCGTCCACTGGTGCGCATGTGAGCGTGAAAAGTTGTTTCTCTATACCAGGGTGTCAAAGCCAAGGCCTGGGGGCCAGATCTGGCCCTCCACATCATTTTATGTGGCCCGCAAAAGCAAATCAAGCAAGTCAAGTTCCTTGCTAAAGTCTGAACCAAAATTTCAAATTGCCATATGTAATCCATAATAACATATGATATTGCAAGCATTTTCTCATTACCAAACCCCTTATTACATTAACGTAAACAATGTTGAAACAAATCATTATTCTTGACTTTTGATTTTAAAACTAGTTATCCATCAATGTGTTGCGCACTGTGTATGTCATATGTGGAGGTGATTAAACATTTTTGGCCACTTGTATCACCATATTGAAATATTTCTGTGAATGAGCAGTGGCATGCAAATAAGGAGTTAAGAAGCAGTGTATCGCCTTTGTTAAAAACATTAAAAAAAAACAAAAGACGACAACTTTTGAAGGGGCCTTCAAAGTGGAACAGTTTTAGAATGTCATATAATGTGTCCAAATCATGCAGTGCTTGAATGACCGAAGATTTTTATTGTTAAGTTTCTATATTTCCAGCCACAGCCCAAGTGTGGTGAAAATGGCACCTTCTGAAGTCAAACAATACGCTGACTTCAGGAGGTGTTCTTTTTTTTTTTTTTTTCCCCCCCAACTAGTGAGTAACCCGTGCGTAGATGTGTGTTTGCTTTTTAGATTAAAAGGTCTGATGCACTCGGATGCAAATTTCACCCTTGAGGGGGCTTCAACACGGCGGGGGGGTTAGGCTTAAAAGCGGGAACCACTTGCGCAGCTCGATGATTCATACGCAAGCACGCCCACACGCGCGTGCACAAAGTGAAGGCCACTTGAATTTTACTTCCTACCTCCACTGACTCTCACTAAATAGTTAAAGGCTGATGAGAATAACATCAACTTTTGAGCTCACGGCACTTAAAATCGTCAAACATCGCAGTGTCATCTCAGTTCAAGTACACACTTCTTTTCGTGATGCCGCGCACATTCTGGTGTTTTGCTTTTTTTTGCTGGCAAGTAAGGTTTTATTTAAATGACAACCCACGAGCATGTTGACAATGGTAGCAAACATGACACACAGAACTGAACCAGAATAAAAGAAAAGAAAACGGGAGGAAGGAAAAAAAGAAACCAGCAGCTCCAAAATTGAGTTAGGTGTGAGATCAGGTCGTGCTTCCTAAGCAAGCCACAGCATCTTCCAAGACAAGAGCGGGAAGATTTACGGGTTGCCAGTGAGGCACCCCCGATTTATTTATTTTATTCTCAGTTCCCCAGATGCCAACAGAGGATGCGAGGACAGCAGTAATGTGTGACATCTGGCTCGATCTTGATGCGGAGTAGCAGCAATGAAAAAGATTTCAATCAAAATAACGTTGGTTTTGTGCGGGTAAATATCAAGAAAATGTTGAGTCCTCCACTGTTTGTTAGCTAAACATTTAAGAAGGGAGATCAGTTTGAGTTACTGAGTTTGGCAGGGAAACAGTTCTCTGTGTCATCGTCACAGCATGAAAGGGGCTGAACAGCGGACCCAGTGGGTGCATCTACAATGAAAACAGAATTGGTCCAAGGACGTATCCTTGCGGGACAAGGAGGACATACGAAAAGCAGGTTTCCCCTGTACCGTGAAGCCTCATT